AAATCTCAAGTAACAAACTAGACATGAGACCCAGCTGAGAAGAAAAGAATTGAGAGCCTGAACCCAGACTTCCAAGACGGACTCCAGGGACAGGGTTGCATGAACAGGGATAAGAGAGCACCCTTAATTGTACTCCCAGTACATAAGCCTCTTCAAGTACCTCAAGTGCTAGTTCCACCGTTTACCTACTATGTGATCTGGAGCCAGGGCGGTAACTCTTCTGAGCCATGGGCTCCTTTCGTGTTCAGCCACGATATTGGCACCTGTCCACAGGTATATCGTGAAGATGACCTAACACAGTTTGCATAAAGCATTTAGCACATTGCCTGTTCCACAGGAAGCACAAAATAGCCTTGCTTGCTTTGTCCGCAGAAAGGAGTGTTTAGACCACTGTACAACTGCCTACTTGTTTTTCTTTCCCACGTGGCCTTCCCTGCAGACACCTATGTGAGGCCTGGCCCAGCGAGCTCACTCCTCTAACCCTACTTATTTCTTGGGTGTGAAAACTTGAATCAGCTTACGGGCTGCCTTCAGATCCTTGAAGGTCACGAAGGTTTAAGTTAGAACCAGGCTACTCCTGCCTCCCCCAGGTGTCCCTGCCCTTCCCCTGGCCACATCCATGACTAGGGCAACACCTATTTAGTGCAACTCTTGTCTGTTCCAAGGTGAATCCATTCCGAGCCACTTTGGGTTGCCCAATAGCCTGGCTCTACCTTGCCCTCACACAAACAGATGCCCGGCAGACCAGACCTGGTCATCAACAGCTGGAGCTAATGCCCAAGTCCAAGTTAACAACAGGAAACGGCCCGGGGACCGAGCCTGCAGCAAAGCAGAGAGTACCCCCGCCCCAGCCCATCCCCACAGTGCCTGGAGCAGAGTGGGAAGGGAGCACTGAAATACAGCAACCAAGGAGCTCGGGGCTCAAGGTGACTCCTCGCGCTGCCCTGTTTAGAAGCTAAATAAAAGTGACATCAATGTCAGGCCTTGGAGAAATCTGTTTGTACTGGTCATGTCTGTCACAGTGCTACACAGTGTAGCCACCGTGAGGCATGAAACGGCTTCAAGGAGAAAGAGCAGAGAACCAATGGTTACTGAGTGTCTACTGCATGCCACGCACTCTGCAGGTCAGCCTCCCTGCTGACCACGTGCAGGGGGTATTACTGTCCTCATCTTCCCAGTAAAACCAGAGACACCTCCGTGCCTCCTCCATTGTGTCACCAGCTCCAACGTCTTCAATGTCCTGGGGAAGGCAAAGGACAGAGGCTACAGGGCTCTGTTCCGGGCTCTCGGCTCCTGAACACATTCACAGACAAGGAGTTTGGTTAATCCATCCACATTCACTAGTGGCGGTCCACTTCTTTCCAAGAGACTCCCGAGCCTTCTAGCACAATCTATAGTCAAAGGTCATAAAGATGCCCACGGAGCCGCGGGTGGTTTCAAACTGCCCACTGGGTGGGTCACAGCCCCATGAGGAACCACTGCATCACTAGGGCTCTTGTCATGCTATATGCCCACTTTAAATGACCCTCTTAAAGACCATTTAAAAAGCAAACCACTTACGACAAAATGGCTGGAGACTGAACGCAAGCCGCCATGAGTGCCACCAGTACAACTATGCGGAAGTGTAATGTGCACACCCAAAAAGGAGTGCAGTGTGTCAGGGTGGTATGATGAGGGGTGGTTTTACTGCGATCACCATGGTCAATGGTCTTTGTGGTATCAAGAAAAGAAAAGGAGAGACAGACAGACAGGAAGACGCTCCCCAGCACTGAGGGCGGGCCCAGGGGTACCAGGACTGGGATGGTGAGTTAGTTAATTGTGCCAGCCAGGCCGATAATCACATGTGGTGCTGGTTGAAAGGCGGAGGGATACATGGGTGGTGAAGCCTCGCCTTTCTAGTTCTCGGGTCTCTTGTTTTGTGATGGTTGCATCGGGTGCAGCTGCCTTAGCAGTTCCCTGCTTC